CAACAAGTGTTGGAGAGGATGTGGAGAAAAAGGAACCCTTCTGCACTGCTGGTGGGAATGCAGACTGGTGCAGCCACTGTGGAGAACAGTATGGAGTTTCCTCAAAAATTAAAAATGGAACTGCCATTTGACCCAATGATCCCACTTCTAAGAATATATCCCAAGAAACCAGAAACACCAATCAGAAAGGATATATGCACCCCTATGTTCAGAGCAGCACAATTCACCATAGCTAAGATTTGGAAACAGCCTAAGTGCCCATCAGCAGATGAGTGGATTAAAAACCTATGGTACATCTACACAATGGAATACTATGCTGTGGTAAAAAAAAAAAAAAAGGAACTATTGCCATTTTCAACAGCATGGATGGAACTGGAGAGCATTATGCTAAGTGAAATAAGCCAGTCAGAGAAAGATAAATACCACATGAACTCACTCATTTGTGGAATATAGAGAACAATATAGACTGATGAACAGGAACTGATCCAAAGACAGGAAAACAGCAATCAGACTATCAATCCCCAGAGGTAAAGTAGGGGACTTGTATGCGTGCATATAAGCCAAACCAATGGACATGGAAAGCAGGGGGATGAGAGCATGAGTGGTGGGGGGGGGGGAAGTTGGGGGTTAATGGGGGGGATGAGGACACACTTGTAATACCTTAACCAATAAAGAAATTAAAGATAAAAAAATCTTGGAAGTGAAAAACAATAAAATAACAAGTATAAACTTGTTAATCATTCAGTTTAGGCATTAAATATATTTTGCAGCCTGAAAAAAAAAATTCAAACACTTGGAGGCTGAATAGTATGCTATTAAACAATGATTGGGTTACCAAAGAGATCAAAGAAGAAATTAAAAACATCCTGGAAATGAATGACAATGAAAACACAACAATCCAAAACCTATGGGACACAGTGAAAGCAGTCCTGAGAGGGAAGTTCATTGCATTACAGGCCTACCTCAAAAATCAAGAAAAACTGGTAATAAATTATCTAACTCTACAACTTAAAGAATTAGAAAGAGAGCAACAAGAAAAACCCAGAGTGCGCAAAAGGAAGGGGATAATAAAGATCAGAGCCGAATTAAATGACATAGAGAAAAAAAATACAAAAGATCAATGAAACCAAGAGCTGGTTCTTTGAAAGGATAAACAAATTGATGAACCTCTATCCAGGATCACCAAGAAGCAGAGAGAGGACCCAAATAAACAAAATCAGAAATGAAAGAGGTGAAATAACAACAGACCCCACAGAAATACAAAGGATTGTAAAAAAACTACTATGAACAACTCTATTCCAACAAACAACCTAGAGGAAATGGACATATTCCTAGAAAAATACAATCTTCCAAAACTCAATCAAGAAGAATCAAAAAATCTCAACAGGCTGATAACTAAGGAGGAAATTGAAGCAGTAATCAAAAATCTTCCAGCAAACAAAAGCCTGGTGCAAGACGGCTTCACAGGGGAGTTTTACCAAACATTCAAAGAAAAACTAAAACCTATCCTTCTCAGACTATTCCAAAAAATTCAGGAGGAAGGCACACTTCCTAGGTCTTTCTATGAAGCCAGCATTACCCTAATCCCAAAACCAGATAAAGACACTACAAAGAAAAAAAATTACAGGACAATATCCCTGATGAACATAGATGCTAAAACCCTCAACAAAATCCTAGCAAATCAGATCCAGCATTACATTAGAAAGATCATACACCATGACCAAGTGGGATTTATTCCAGGGATGCAAGGCTGGTACAATATCTGCAAATCAATAAATGTGATACATCACATAAACAAACTGAGAGACGAAAAATCATTTTATCATATCAATTGATGCAGAAAAGGTATTTGACAAAATCCAACACCCTTTCCTGTTAAAAACTCTCAGCAAATTGGGAATAGAGGGGTCATACCTCAACATAATATAAGCTTTATATCATAAACCTACAGCAAACAACATAGTCAATGGGAAAAAACTAAAACAATTTCCCCTAAGAACTGGAATGAGACAGGGATTCCCAATTTCACCAATCTTGTTTGACATAGTACTGGAAGTGCTAGCCATAGCAATCAGACAAGAAGAAATAAAAGGCATCCAAATTGGGGGGGAAAAGAAGTAAAATTGTCATTATTCACAGATGACATGGTATTATACTTAGAAAACCCTAAAGACTCCATCAAAAAACTACTAGACTCAATAAATGAATTCAGCAATGTAGCAGGATACAAAATTAACACCCATAAATCTATGGCTTTTTTATACACCAATAATGAACTCACAGAAAGAGAAACTGAAAAAACAATCCCATTTACCATTGCAACATGAAAATCAAGGTACCAAGGAATAAATTTAACTAAGGAGGTAAAGGACCTGTACTCAGAAAATTACAGGACACTGAAAAAAAGAGATAGAGGAAGACATAAACAAATGGAAGAATATACCCTGTTCATGGATTGTTAGAATCAACATCATTAAAATTTCCATACTACTCAAAACAATCTATAGATTCAATGCAATTCCCATTAAAATATGAATGACATACTTCAAAGATCTAGAACAAACTCTCCAAAAATTCATCTGAAATGAAAAAGACCCTGAATAGCTGCAGCAATCTTGAGCAAGAAGAACAAAGTTGGAGGGATCACAATACCAGATATCAAGCTATACTACAAAGCCACTTTTCTCAAAACTGCCTGGTACTGGCACAAGAACAGACATATAGATCAATGGAACAGAACAGAGAACCCAGAAACCGACCCAAGCTATTATGCTTAATTAATATTTGACAAAGGAGGCAAGAGCATACAATGGAGTCAAGACAGTCTCTTCAATAAATGGTTTTGAGAAAATTGGACAGATACATGCAAAAAAATGACACTAGACCACCAACTTACACCATACACAAAAATAAACTCAAAATGGATAAATGACTTAAACATAATACAGAAAACCATAAAAATCATAGAAGAAGCCATCAGCAGCAAAATAGCAGACATTTGTGGTAGGAATATTTTTACTGATACAGCTCCTAGGGCACTGGAAACTAAGGAGAAAATAAACAAATGGGACTACATCAAAATAAAAAGCTTCTGCACAGCAAAAGAAACCATCAACAAAACAACGAGAAAGCCCAATGCATTGAGAACATAGTTGCCAATGTTATCTCCAATAAAGGTTTAATCTCCAACATTTACAGGGAACTCATACAACTTAACAAAAGGAAGGTAAACTATCCAATAAAAAAATGGGCAATGGACCTAAATAGATACTTTTCAAAAGAGGACATAAGGAAGGCCAAGAGACATATGAAAACATTCTCAAAGTCACTAATCATCCAAGAGATGCAAATCAAAACAACAATGAGGTACCATCTCAAACCTGTCAGAATGGCTATCACCACCAAATCAACAAACGACAAGTGCTGGAGAGGATTCAGAGAAAAAGGAACCCTCTTTCACTGCTGGTGGGAATGCAGACTGGTGCAGCCACTATGTAAAACAGTATGGCGTTTCCTCAAAAAATAACAAATGGAACTTCCATTTGACCCAGTGATCCCACTTCTAGGAATATATCCCAAGAAAACAGAAACACCAATCAGAAAGGATATATGCACCCCTATGTTCATAGCAGCACAATTTGCAACAGCTAAGATTTGTAAACAGCCTAAGTACCCATCAGCAGATGAGTGGATTAGAAAACAGTGGTACCATTTACACAATGGAATACTATGCTGCTGAAAAACACAAGGAATTCTTACCATTTGCAACGGCATGGATGGAACTGGAGAGCATTATGTTAAGCAAAATAAGCCAGTCAGAGAAAGATAAATATCACATGATCTCACTCATTTGTGCAATATAATAAACAACATAAACTGGTGGACAAAAACAGAACCAGAGTCATAGAAGCATTGATTATACTGTCCAACTTATGAGGGAAGGCGGGGGGATGAGGGTGTAACAGATCAACCAAAGGACTTGTATGCATGCATATGAGCATAACCAATGGACACAGATAGGTGGGCGGGGGGTGGGGGGTGGTGGTGAGTGCATATGCTGGGGTTTGGGGGTGGCCTGGGAGAGGTCAATGGGGGAAAATGGAGACTTATGTAATACATCCTATACAATAAATCCCTAATATGAAAATTGACCAAACAGCAGAATGACCAGCAGAACGACTGGTCGCCATGATGTGCACTGACCACCAGGGGGCAGATGCTCAATGCAGGAGCTGCCCCCCCCCCCCCCCCCCGGGGTTCCTTGATTTCCCCCAGGGGGATACCTGTCTTGTATAAAGGTCTTGTTTTTCTCTATGTAAACCTAATGATAAGT